TTTTCTTTCCCAGTACCTCTTTGTGGACTCCACCAACAACTACCTGTGGAACACTTTTGATTTCTGTAAAACTGTTCAGGGATTCTCCCTGCCCTTCAAACCAGCAGACCTGCTGCTCCACAGCACGAAGTCCAACCTGGTGCTGGGCTACGACAGCTCTCATCCAAACAAACAGGTACGGCGGCGAAAAACAGCTGGAAAAATTCTTCTTTCCATGTTCTGTTTGTGACCTGAATGTCACTTTGACCAGTGTTTCCCAAACGTCACAAACCTTCGCAACCCAAGTCAGTTGACTTTAATCGTAAATTCATGGGAAATTACCCCCCAAAAAAAAGATCTACGTAGCTACAAGGGACATGATGTCTTGGGTTAATAGCGGGTTACAACTGTTTTTGGGTGCATACTGCCACCTACTGTACTAGAGTGTGAAGTCTCATGGTATGACCAGTGACTGAGAGATAGTCTACTCCTTACACCTTGATGCGCAATGTATTTTTTATTTCAACCAATGCAAATTGTTAAGAATTTTTAATCAATTCACGATGCATCGTTACATCCCCAGTTCATATCAATAGTCTCTCTATTGTTTCTCTGTCGAGTGTAAAAGAATGAGCCTGACCTACATCTTACATCGTACCAGCCTGTTGACCTTTTTCTTCCTCACCTGGCCCCCTTTTTCGTTACATTCACCCCCATTTTTCTGATTCTGTTGCAGCTCTGGAAGTCTGACGACTTTGGGGAGACGTGGGTTTTGATTCAGGAACACGTGAAGGCCTACTTTTGGTAAGAGAAACCCTACTCCCAGTTCGTTTTCAACGTCAATCCCAGGTGGTGTGGCTAACCGTAGCTTCCCAGCAAGTGTCTTTATGGTTTGTGCAAATAGACGCGTGGACAAAGACGGGACATTTTTATGTCAGACCACGGCCGTCCATGACAGCGTGCAGCAACGATCTTCACTCTGAAACTTTGTGTTTCAAAGGCTAATGATGTATTTAGCTAACCGCTCAGAAACAAGCCTGCTGTCACTTCTTTGTGGTTTTCAGTTCTGTTTTGAATGTTCATTTAATGGAATGTCAGACCCCGTCGTTTTGTCTTTCTCTATTATTTTGAAAAACAAAAGCGTTAATGATGCGCACCACAAAGTCGTTGGTGAATGCGTTTCGCACAACACGTCGGTTGAAAAGACAATTATGGACTTGACCTTATCAGTCAGAATGAATTGTTTTGGTTTAGACATGACCGTCACAGATGGAAGAAATAAAAAAAAAGTAATTATTTTGTGAAATGTAAAATAACACAGAGGTCAACGATCTGTTTATCTGCCGTCTGTCAGCGTGAGCGCTTTAAGAACTGCTAAAAAAACCCAGTTGAGTTAACATTTAATAAGGCATAAAATGTAAAGTAGTTTTAGTTTAGTTTTAGAAAGCTACTAAACAAGAGGTGTGTTTACTTAGAAGGCCGTAGGAGCAGACAAAGACAGTAACTCCATACCACCGTATCTGCCTGCCAAATATTTCAGCTCTGTGAGTGTGGCTCTCGGTGTAAAAGGAAAGTAGTCATTGAAGGAAGAAGGAATGCATTGATTCAGACTGAAGAATATGAGAACGAAGTGTTTAACAGAGCAGGTCAGACGTCGACCGATCCTTTCTTCATCTGCTCATGTCCACGTTGGCCAAGAATGGAACGTCTTTAAGACCCGTCTCTCAGAGTTCCGGGCCGATCTGATCTGATCTGATCTGATGTGATGTGAAACTGAAATGATCCTGTGCTTTGTAAACACAGCGCCGTCACTGATCACAAGATAGACACAGGTGTGCCGCCTCGCTGCCAGACACACCCAGCCGCACCACTGAGTGCTGTTCTGGTCCTGGTGATAAAACCGTGGGCTGTGCCTTTCACCTACAGTACTAACAGCTCAGACTCCTCTCCTGTGAACCAAGTCTGGTATCGATCCTATACTGTCCAGATGAAAGACAACTGCATTATCCACTGTTCCACAGTCACTCTGATCGTTTAAGTGCACAATTAAAGGTGGCCTCGTGAGCATTTGGTCCAGGATGGCACAACGGTTACAATTTTTTTTTTTCTACAAAAACAAAGACACAGTGGCTTTCTGAGTGGGACTGTGTGTATTTTGACAGCACTAAAACAAATCAGCTGCTATTGCACTTCCACTTGTACTAATGTGTGCATTCATTATTCTAAGTACTGTACATTGAAGGTCCATTAGTAGCGACAATCGTGCTGCGTGTGCACGGCACCGACCCTGACTGGCTGCTTGTGTTGTTATGGTTTATATAAACATTATATATCAATTCTGAAGAGTGAATTGCCTGACTGCAGGACACATTCAATCACAGCTTAAAGGTTCATATACAACGCGTTTTAAATTATTACTTTCCCTGCTCCCAGTGAATGCACCGTCTGGTGCCTTACTTCATGACTTAGCCTGTTTGGCTGTTAGCAAGCAAGCTGGCCAGTCCTCGGTTTGGAAGAATAACAAATCAAAGTCTCATCATATTTTTTAGGACTTCATCAGTTCCTAAATTTGACCATTTTCTACTGTACGCTTAATTGACCAGTAGTTATTAAAGTCCGTCTGCTTTTACAAATGGAATTTGCAACAGAATAACGATGTGAAGCAAATTAACAGCATTTGGATTCTTAATTTTATTTCTTATAAAATGTCACATCAGAAACTGATGGACTGACAGTGTTTTGATGGACTGTGGATTATTTGACGCGCTGTGTGAACGTTAATAGGAGTAAGTTTTCGCAAATGAATTAATGCAATTAACAGATTAATCTGACAGCCCAAAATGTAGCACTTGACTGTGGACACGTGTGGTAATTCCCTCCGAATTAAATCCAGAAAGGCTGTGATGAAATGACTTGGGCGAGCTCAGCTGAAGGTTGGAAACGGCCCAAACGGCGGAGGAGGGGGTTATTTGAGTGTTTCAAAAGTGGCAGAGATTAATTCAAGAGGAAAGGACAGAGACAGACTGGGAAAAGCCCTCGGAGCCATCTGAGCCCAGACAGTGTCCGTCAGTTGAACGGGGCTCTTTGAAAGAAGGCCACGGAGGCAGGACCCGGCCCAGACACTGCCCCCACTGTTCAGCTCTCCACGCTGATCTGGAAGGCTCCGGTCGGGATGATGTGAATCTCTCTTCTTCCCTTCGTGTCTCATGTCTGTACCATGATTTTATTTTCTCCTGGGTCATAAATAGTTTGACCGTGCTGTTTTGCGGAGGCTGACGGATAGAGAGATATTTTTTACTCTGCTCTGACATTTATTTCTCCGTGATTTGGCCGTTGCTGAAGCAGAAACTGACAAGGCTCTTTTGTCAGGATGGAGCTGCTAAGTTAAGCTCCATGTGACTGTGACTTGCACTTTGTCACTTTTAAAAACAGATTAAGTGTTCGGACCGTTCAGACAACAGGTCAGACCAGGACGGCTGCAGGAGCTCCTGGGTCTAATGACTGCGGCTCAGTGTTTCCCAGCCTTCACCTGCTGCAGCAGCAGTCGTTTCAGATTCTTGCATCACTTTGAACCTGTGATAAAGGAAACAGAAGCCGTGGCTTCGAATCTCTACATCAAATCTTTTGTTTATTTCCTATTCATTGCTGAAAGGGTTGTTTATCAAGTCGATGCACCTGCGACCGTCTGAGATGTGGTCAAGGATGTCGTTGGCACAGCGACAATGTGACGTAACGGAAAAAGAATCATCATGTGACCCAGGCTGAGGAGGAATCAGTGCAGTGGCAGAACTAGAAACGCCTCGCTGAACGTTGGACTTTACTGCATAAGTACTCACTTGTGAAAGAGAAAAACCACAACCTGTTTCTTTAAAATCAAGTTTCAAACCTTCACTAACTCTGATAGGTTTACATTAAGGTTTGGTTAAAAAAATGTGACATCTGAAATTGGACGTTTTTGAGGATTCAAAAACCTGATCCAATAAAATGTGACACATTTGACATGATTAATATTAAATATGGTGAGTCTAATAATAATTGATAATCACAAATGCTTTGTCTCAAATCTGTTCTTTCTCATTTAATCCGCTCCAGTTCTTTGTTGAATTAAAGAGACAGGTGATATTTTCCAGGTCCACATGTTGGTCTAAATCCAGTAAAGTCAGTTTTAAACAGATGTAGTCCTTCACCAATGTCTTATTGTCCTTCAGTTCAGAACAGCACCTGTGTCTGACCCATTCACACACAGTCCATCACTGTCCTCCTCATCTTCTCCTGCTCTTCTCCCCCCCAGGGGTGTGGAACCCTACGATCCTCCGACTACAGTGCTGGTGCAGAGGCACGAGCCCCAGGGCGTCTCCACCGTCCTCAGCAGCGTCGACTTCTTCCAGAGTGAGCAGAACCGCAGAGTGATCCTGGAGCAGGTGGACAGTTTCCAGCTGCGGGAGAAATACATGTTCGCCACCACCACACGGGTAAGAGACATAGAGAGAGAGGGAGAGAGAGAAAGGGAATATTAATGGATGAACAAATGGAGTCTTAAAAAAATCAAAAAACCAAAAAACATTATGAAAACGATGACAACGTGGTCTTCGGTCGGAGGAGTCTGCATGTTTTTGTTGATATGGATGAATACAGGTTTGAAATTTAGTAACTTTTATGAGACAAAAAAACGATTTTTTTAGATCACATCATCTGGGCGAAACCCAGGCGTGGCATTTTTTTTTAGATCACATCATCTGGGCGAAACCCAGGCGTGGCATTATCGGTTTTTTGTCAGAGGAAAAACTGATAACAATTCTTACCGAGATTACAGACATCCCTAATTTACATTATAATAAATTATGAATAATCGAGATAAATCGATATTCCTAAATACGACTTGGGAACTTTTTACTCTTATTGGACCAGAAAGACAAATAACAGCTGGTTTGTTTGTACCTACCTACTGAACAACTCCACTGTTTTCTCTAACAAGAATTACTGGGTCAAGACAAAACAGCTGAACGGTGAAATATCAAAGCTGTGAAATCACAGGCCAAAGGAGTGGGAGTAAATGACAGAGTTTGTTTTTCGTGTTTAATCTGTTTCATCTGCTGCTGTTGTCAGAGCTTCACTGTGGTCACACAGTTAGAATTCCTCACCTCCAGACCGATAATCAACATTAACATTATCGATGGCGTCTTACTCGCCCGCCGTGCACCTGCGTGGATTCGTCACAGCGCCACATCGTGCTCTGGCCAAGCGGCGCTGTCACTTCTGCACTTGAGCATATTCTGCTGATCACAGCAGATGTTGGGTCAATATTTGGCCGGGAGTCATTTCAAACACTCACGTTCGTCATCGTTAGGCAGAAGTGTTTGTTTTGCAGGAGCTCCATTTCGTCGGCAGGCAAACAGAGAGAAGGACAAATGGTGGAAACGATTAGGTTTTCTCACCTCCTCCGCTGTTTTAACAGGCTGCTAAAAAAACACGCTCTCCTTTTTTAATTTTTTTGCCAATTTTGCAAACGCTCAGAGCCGTAGTCCTTTAGAAGAAGTTGCTTTGGAGATCAGTTTTAAAAAAAAAAAAAATTGAAAAACACTTTAAATAAAAAAGCATCTGTCTGTGCCACCATCAACTCTGTTACGACACTTCCACCTGTTAGACCCTACAGTCACTGCACAGAAATAAGGCCAACTTTGTGATTTTAAACGTTGATAAAAATCATTGCTCA